ACAGTGTCTTTGGTGATTTAGTGTGAAGCCGTTTATAAGATAGACTTTATTGATCTCACACAGGAGAAACGTACACGTCACATCTGGCATCATCATGAAACAAATGTGTTTTCTATTTCCCAATTATAACATCATTGAGCCGCTCTGGGGGAATCTCAAATGTGTAGTTCATGCAAGGCGGCGCAGGAATTTACAGGAACTGGAGGGTTTTTTGCCAAGAGGAATGAGCAACTACACCATCAGAGAGGTAGACTCCAAGCTGTCATAGTTGGGAGGGTAAGTTTCTAAACTCATTATCATCTGAAAATAGAAAACAATCTTCACACAAAAGAGTTTATAATCTTTTCTGCCTGAGTGTGTAAACATTCAAGCACAACGGCATAGATTTGGGTTTATATTCAATCAAAGAGAAAGAAAAAAATTGGGCTTTCATGGAGTGATTCAAAATGGCCGCGGGGGCTGGAAAATGTGAAAAAAAGCATCTGTGCATGCGTCAGCTGCACGAGCTCCTTTCATTTAAACGAGAGACTTCTAAAATCCACAGCGACTAAACTAGACTGGTCCAGAACACTCAGCATTGACACACATGTGGAACGGAGCTTTGGGCCAAGAGACAACTTTTGGACCCTCCTCACCTACAAGTCCCTCCATAGCCTGGCCCCCTCTGACCTCACGGACCTCCTCCATCATCACTGCCCCACCCGCCGCCTCAGACCCACAGACTCCAACCTCCTCACTCCCCTCAGGACTAAACACCGAACCTTGGGGGACCGAGCCTTCGCTGCAGCTGCCCCCACTCTCTGGAACTCACTCCTTCAACCAATCAGAAACTCAGACTCACTACAGAACTTTAAATCTCTCCTAAAAACCCACCTGTTTCATCTTGGCTTTCCTTAATTTTGTGTTTTGTAAAGCGTCTTTGAGTGTCCAAAAGAGCGCTATATAAGTTTGATGCATTATTATTATTATTATTATCCTGTAAAGACGTTTTTGAGAGGTTAGCTAATGCTATATGTTAGCATTGGCCAATTCTCATTCCGGGTCCACCCCCACAGGCCCGGGGTGGTATTGCAGCATGTCAGCGCATGTCATTTTGGCCACTTCTGAGCCGGGACCCGCCCACACTGGTCTGAACCCATGTCCTTCAGGCCTAAAGCCATATGCTCTACCAACTGAGCCACTGTCGCCCCATATGTATCTATATGTATGTGCTGGTTTGTATACTGCACTATACTGACTATATGTATCAGTGGAGTCCGAACAAAACATGGGAGGCTTTAAGATTCATGCATCTAAAATCTGGAACAGTCTTCCTGAAAATGTGAGACAGGCCTCTTCTCTGACAATGTTAAAATCCGGGTAAAACACTTCTTTACAGCTGTGCATACAACTGAGGGGTTCTACCTGTACTCTCTCATTAATTAAATATATTTTAATTGAATGCCTTGTGTGACTGTCTCTATCTTGTTTTGCTCAGTTGACTCGAGTATGAATTGAGAGCTGTTTACAGAAGGCAAATGTTTACGCACATATTACGGCGCTGGAAATGCTTAGTATACCGGTAAGCTTGTTTTCCAACACATTCCTGAGCATGTGGTGAAATGCAGCAGCCATTTGAATACACAGACTCACCTGTCCGACTCTTACAGGGGACGTATTGTATCAGGCCACATTGTTTTCAAGCTCTCAAAACCGCGTAAAAACATTGTTCTCTCGTCAAAAACAACTTCAGGCGCAGAATCCGCAGTCGTGGTGCAAATGGGGACCGTCAGAGCAATGGCCTTTTTCAGTACAGCGGATTACAGGTGGCAAAGACGCATGCAGGAGTCAGTTAAAACAACTTCTGATATGAAAGTGAGAAGGGATAACAACTATGACTATGTGTGTAAGCTCTTCAAAGTCCAGTGTGTATGTTAAAGACCTTATGACGGGTTTTTTAAAAAAAAATAGTGGATATCAAAATTGCATGGCAATGTCAATTTGAAAGAGATTCCGGCAAAAAAAAAAATCCTATATTTTATAAAAAGAACGTGTTTTTCATGAATTTAAGTTGTCTATGCTCTAACCTGTGTGTGACGTCACAGCGGGTAACGCCCATGCATTGAAAACCATGGATCTATGCCACAGGACTGCCTTTTTTCTCTTCTCTCCACTGATGCCCGACACAATACTGCCCTCTACAGGTGACAATTGCTCACTACACATAAATTGCCGTTTTGAGAAAAAGTGTCCGAGGTGGGATTTGAACCCAAGTATCTGGATTGATTTGAACCCAAGTATCTGGATTGACAGTCCATCGACACAACCACTGGACTATCTCAGTGACAACGAAATGTGACATTCTAGTACTTATCTTAGACTCTCTGTACACGGCCTTGTCATCTTGAATATCCGCAAAAAAAGAACAAATACCAAATTGTAAACAACTTACAGCGTTGAAACGTACCCACTCTGACGTCACCAAGGGCTGTGAAGTTTTTTCGTTTCTAAGGGCGTTGCTATGGGGTTATTTCGATTTGGGGGGATCAGACAAAAAAAACAACAACTGATTTTGAAACCTTTAGTAGTTCTCTTCTAATATAAAATGGTATTAAAACTGTATTTCTAAATAAATCAAACCCGTCATAAGGTCTTTAAAGCACAACAAATGTCAAAAAACATTCCTTGCTCTTAAAACAGCTCATTTCTATCACTAGTTATGGGCATTTTTTTTGTATTTAGATCAGCTTTTTCAGACAAGCGTTGGAGCAAAACAAGCCAATCATCTCCCAAAGAGACGAATAAGATCTTTTTTTTATAGTGACGCAAATGATAACATGCTTTCTAATAAGATCAAACCAGCATGTTGGGGTCTTACGTTAACACCATTGATGTCAAAACTTACCATAGTAAGTAAGTAAGTAATCTTTATTTATATACCGCCTTTTCACTGCACATCGGAGTCTCAAAGCGGTTTACAATTGTTATTTTTTGGGAGTGGGGCCAGTACAGGAGGCGCATGCCAGACCTATTGTACATATTTTTAGTGGTAGGGGAAACCGGAGCACCCGGAGGAAACCTACGCAGACACGGGGAGAACATGCAAACTCCACTCAGAAAGGCCCTGATCCAACCGGGATTTGAACCCAGGACCTTCTTGCTGAGAGGCGAGAGTGCTATCCACCCAGCCACCATACATTTTGTAAGCAGCGTCTACAGTTTTGCCCGTACAAGCCAAGCTCAGGCTTTTGTGCATTCATATGTTTTCTCCATGACAACTCATTATACAGTGAGTAAAAGAGAAACCACAAAACTGTAGCCAGCTCCGCCCAGGGGCAAGTAGGCACAGAGCAGAAGTGAAGAGGCACTGCTTGGTTAAATTGTAATTCATGATTAAAAGGAAGTCTCTGACCATGGGGCACTGCACTATCATGTACAGTAAGTATTCCCCAACAATAATATAGATTTAAAATGGTCCCTTCCTTTGGTCTAACTACAACCAGTGAGATTTTCTAGAGGAAACAAATGAAACCAATGACATATCTTCAACCAATCAGGAAGCTGTGTTCAGTCCATGCCTTCAAAAAAGATTCACTTTCTTTCCACAATCTTAAAGGTAACTGATATTCACTTTACGCATCAGTAAAAATGTGAATAATACTCTATTTTCATCTGAGAAGGACAGATAGAGCCGGATAGAGATTAGAATCAGGTCGTCTGTGGTGGTGTGTAATATGTGGTCCGTGTAATGTTGTTTTGGTGTGTTGCATGAGCTGAAGCTGAGTTCAGGGACTTGAGGGAAAGGCTGATTGCTGAAGAGCACAGGTGTAAATGTGCCGGAGGAGATATTGCCCTCTGAACCTTTGCTATGATACTGTATATAATAATTAACCTTTGTTGCCTATGGACTCGGGGCCATAGGTAAGACACTTCACTAAGGCTGTTAATTTGCAAATAATCATTTATTGACTCATTTTTGAACCTTACATGGAACAAAACCATGCTAAGAATAGGCTGTATGACTCTGATGGAGCTATAACTACTGAGAATGTAGTATTTATAATCAAACAAACAGTTGTGTTACTTCTGGTGTTTATGAAGATTCTTGAGTGGCTTCACTGTAGCTTTGTTTTGGTCAAATTCATCAAAAAAAACCCTTATTCCACTGAACAAATAACTAATCAATATCTCATCAAAGCCACAAGATATGTTCATTATCACTTATTTATCACATGATTTCTTCTTTAACAACACTACAAACACAGAGGCTTTTGAGCTGCATTCCAAACTCTCTTGTAAACTATGGGCTGTGTAGAATATATGTGGACGTAGTGTGAAGGCGATTGTATCTGGGACAAAGGCACATGGATCCAGAGCGTGAAGAGAGTGTGAATGTGAGGAACCAGGACGCCATAGCTCACAGTGAAGCTCCCAAGACACAGAAGAACGAGCTGACCCACGGCCCCTGATATGGTGTCAAATTAGGAGCTGTAAGAACTGAGTCATTTATTGTCACCTGAATATCAATAAATCTAAATTAGAGATTATAGAACAGGTATAATCCACTGTTAAAAATTCCCATATTTCAGATTTTTCAGAGGGCCGCTTTTAAAATCAAAACTTGCATTAAATGAGTCGACACACACACACACACACACACATATGTTGCTATGCTCATTAATATGCATAAATGTCCCAGGTCATAATGGGCAAACGTTGGGTCTCTAACTGTTACTGTGACAAAACAAAGCATTATAAAAACATTATCTAGCCGAGGATAGCATTGCCAATAAAAAGATTTCAGCCTTTTTGGATTCTGCCACTGCCACTGCCTCAGCCTCAGCCTCAGCCTCTGCCTCTGCCTCTCTGCGTCTCTACCTCTCTGCGTCTCTGCCTCTGCCTCTGCCTCTGTCTCTCTGCGTCTCTGCCTCTCTGCCTCTGCCTCAGCCTCAGCCTCAGCCTCTGCCTCTGCCTCTGTCTCTCTGCGTCTCTGCCTCTCTGCCTCTGCCTCAGCCTCAGCCTCAGCCTCTGCCTCTGCCTCTGTCTCTCTGCGTCTCTGCCTCTCTGCGTCTCTGTCTCTCTGCGTCTCTGCCTCTCTGCGTCTCTGCCTCTCTGCGTCTCTGCCTCTGCCTCTGTCTCTCTGCGTCTCTGCCTCTGCCTCTCTGCGTCTCTGCCTCTCTGCGTCTCTGCCTCTCTGCGTCTCTGCCTCTCTGCCTCTGCCTCAGCCTCAGCCTCAGCCTCTGCCTCTGCCTCTGTCTCTCTGCGTCTCTGCCTCTGCCTCTCTGCGTCTCTGCCTCTCTGCGTCTCTGCCTCTCTGCGTCTCTGCCTCTGCCTCTGTCTCTCTGCCTCTCTGCCTCTGCCTCAGCCTCAGCCTCAGCCTCAGCCTCTGCCTCAGCCTCTGCCTCTGTCTCTCTGCGTCTCTGCCTCTCTGCGTCTCTGTCTCTCTGCGTCTCTGCCTCTCTGCGTCTCTGCCTCTCTGCGGCTCTGCCTCTGCCTCTGTCTCTCTGCGTCTCTGCCTCTGCCTCTCTGCGTCTCTGCCTCTGCCTCTGCCTCAGCCTCAGCCTCTGCCTCTGTCTCTCTGCGTCTCTGCCTCTGCCTCTCTGCGTCTCTGCCTCTCTGCGTCTCTGCCTCTCTGCGTCTCTGCCTCTGCCTCTGCCTCTGTCTCTCTGCGTCTCTGCCTCTCTGCGTCTCTGCCTCTCTGCGTCTCTGCCTCTCTGCGTCTCTGCCTCTCTGCGTCTCTGCCTCAGCCTCTGCCTCTGTCTCTCTGCGTCTCTGCCTCTCTGCGTCTCTGCCTCTCTGCGTCTCTGCCTCTCTGCGTCTCTGCCTCTCTGCGTCTCTGCCTCTCTGCGTCTCTGCCTCTGCCTCTGCCTCTGTCTCTCTGCGTCTCTGTCTCTCTGCGTCTCTGCCTCTCTGCGTCTCTGCCTCTCTGCGTCTCTGCCTCTCTGCGTCTCTGCCTCTGCCTCTGCCTCTCTGCGTCTCTGCCTCTGCCTCTGCCTCTGTCTCTCTGCGTCTCTGCCTCTCTGCGTCTCTGCCTCTCTGCGTCTCTGCCTCTCTGCGTCTCTGCCTCTGCCTCTGCCTCTGCCTCTGCCTCTCTGCGTCTCTGCCACTGCCTCTGCGTCTCTGCCTCTGCCTCTCTGCCTCTCTGCCTCAGCTTCAGCAGCCTAGTTTTCTTCTTGCTCCTGCACGCTCGCGGGGGGGTGTTCATGTGGACTGCCCCATGCCCGTGTCCTCCTTTCACTGCTGCACTGCTCTCAGGTCATTGGAGCTTTCATTTTGATCAAATAAAAAATGTCAATACCGTATATTTACAATAGGTTTGAGCAGGTCTCATTGAAATGCACTGTCCCAATTTAAAACAAACATCACATCACCAACTGCATAAGGCATTGTAGACCTCCATGGATGTACAGGAGACTAAGTTGGAGCAGCTTGTGTGGTACTAAACTTAGAAGCATGGCTAATTACTTCACATGTGTATTTAATATCTTAGAAGCTTTTTGTTTTGTTTTATATGCTGTGGGCAAAATATTAAAATGCATCTCTGTAGGCAATAAATATATCATTTTCTAAATTCTAAAGCATGGCTAACCATTTCAAACTTGTATTCACAGACTTAGAAGCCTGGCTAACCACTACGTACGATTAATAATGGACTTAGAAGCATGGCTAACCACTTCATATCTTTAGTGAACTTACAAAAATAGCCAACCTGTTCAATAACCGCATTAATGACAATGTAGACAAAGGTTCGTTCTGAAACCTGGCACTTTATAGATCATTAAATGAACTAATCTAAGAGATATTTGTAATTTTAACTCAAGGTTATGTTTTTTTTGAAGTGTAGCTTTCAGATTTCAAATGTGTTTTTAGGAGTGGGCAGACAGCGGTTAGTCTGTTTGGGTGCTTTTGCACAACATGAAGCAGCCGCTGATCCAGACTCAGTCCAATAGTGTGAAATAACTTTTTTGGTAAAGTGGGACTGATCACAAATGCATAAACATGGGGTTAGTTTAGAGAAAGAGGAGCAGCTCAAAATCTCACGCGAAAAAGGCAATTTCTACTGATTTATTTTGGTCTGTTATGTCTGCTCAGTGCTCAGACTTCTGACAGCTTGAGAAAAGTCCAAATAAAAAGGCTGGTTTTGAAGTTAATCACCACCAAAGATTCGTATCCAAATTCTTGGCTCTTCTATCTATCAGAATACTGCCTTAACATGAGACACAAAACTATAGCAATAATGTAGTCCGCAGATGGAGCGATAACTTGAGTATGTTTTAGAGCTGGAAGGCCAAGTTAATTTATTTTATAACGCAATTAAGCCATAGCGTTTTAAAAAATATAATAATGATCTTGTTTTTATTGTCATTATAGTTGCAAAAATAGTGTATCTCTAATGGTGCTTTCAGACCGGACACTCTGAAACGCACGTTCTCTAGTTTTCAGACGCAGGGGTTTTCACACCAGAGGTCCTGGCGCGCGCTGGAAGTGCCGGAAGTAGCCGGCGGGCTCTGATGCTAACAGAGTTTAGCTAGCGGCTTCTTGTGTACAAATCTTCTCCAATAATGCAGCTTTGTAGCGTGTATGTGTTCAGAGACCTTCCACAGACTTTATATAACAGTAGTATGTTTTCACAGAGGTGCGCAATAAGTTTATTTTCTTATTAAACGGTACTTCCGCATCGGCGAACACACTCAAAGCAGTTGCATAAAGTCACGGGAGCATGAAAACTCACATGTTAACAAGCACTATATCCCCCATTGTCAACCCTGGTTTAGTCCTGGTGTAGCTCCTGATTTGGCTGTTTACGAGTATGTTCAGTCTGCTCGCTCAGTCCAGATTGTGAGGCAGTGGGCCACGCGCAATGCCACAGAGGGCCGCAGTTGGCCCGCGGACCTCAGTTTGGACATGCCTGATTTAGTCACTTATGATGTGATTCCCTGCAACGTGACTTTGGACGACTCATTTTGAATGTCAGAAGTTTTGCATTATTTTTGTTTTTATTCTTACACTTTCTCATGGTGAATAGCCGAAACAGGTCTAAACAACTCAGCAACCTTTCCCACTTTTGTCCCAGGTCAACACAGGCATTTCTACACAAGTCAAAAACCATGATTCCACAGTCTGAAAACAACAAGAAATGCTCTGATTTATGAAAGTAAACATAGCTAGAGAGAGACTTTTTCACATCTTCAATAATCGACGTGGATAAGGCTATTCAGTACCGGCTCCTGAATTGTTTCTTGTGAATACTTTCTTTCTGGACACGTACACTGTACATTTGCATACTCATCTTGTTTATGTAGCATATTCATGGCTAATGTTTTTGTGGGAGCTATCACCTCTCTGGGGGTTCACATAATGCAACATGATACACACTCATTTGAATAGTAGTAATGAGGAAGTGCCTGGGTAGGTCCTTTGCACTTAGAATGATAATTATGCAAAGTTTCTCCATCGCGTTAGTCCATATGCAAATAGAGTAAACAATAATCGTGTTGTGAGTAAATGACCACTAAATAACAAGTGATTTTATGGCTTTTCTCCCTAGCTACATGTTCAGGATACATACTGTAGGCCGTACATCTGGGGGATATTTAAAAATGCAAACCAGCATTATTGAGGTATTATGCATATGTAAATCTAGATCCTCATTTACCGGTTTGAAGGAATACATACAATGTTTTAATGCAAGAAAGTGCCGCTTTGTCTTCTGTACGTCTGCTGTAGGGAGCTCTCTCTTTGCTCATACAAGCTTCTTCTAATGTCTCATTGGCATAAATTAGACAATGATTACAGCAAATCATCTGTGTGTATGTTTGTATAAGACAACTAGGGTTGCCAACTTGAGAACTAAATAATAAGGGACACCATTTGGGTGGATTGGGTTGAGCATTTTTTTAGTCCTAATTTCAATCTACACAGCAATCAGGGAATTTCATAATCAAAATTTTTAGAATGTAATTTATTGACTTTATATAGAAAAACAAATCCTTAGTCAAAAATTAAATTTAATAAATAGGTGGAACTCTTTGGCTGGTTAAAGACTTAATGCATGCTTATTAGTAATGAAAAATATAAAAAAGACAAATGCTGTAACATACAGAAGTCCAAATCTGGGAATATGACGCTACTTTACCAAACTTCTGCTGTGATGATGCTGCGGGCACGGCCCACGCTGGCGAATGTCAATATTAAACCAATGGATGTGTTCAAGCCTACGCCCCTTTGACACTGATTGGCTGAAATGTAGACGCTTAAACTGTGATTACTGTGTGTGTGCGTGTGTCGTGCGTGTGACATGCAGTGAGTGAGTGATGCATTTAAGGTGGCTCTGAAAATACGGGACAAAATCCGTCCCGTATCAGTTCAATACATAGTGTTTCTATATTACGGGACAATTCTGTATTTCAAGGGACGGTTGGCAAACCTAAAGACAACTATAAGCATGGATACATCATGTTCAATTCCCTTCAAATTGTTTTTGTATTTTACAAAACAGTTGATTCACCAACAACAGATCAGAGAATTAAACAGTTAGAACGGAGCGGGATGATCAATGTCCATAAATATTAATGTATGTCCTTAAATGGAAAAATTGGAACAAACAAAAAAACAGTGGGGAAAAAGTGAGATACCTTGGAGGCCCACATTCGGAGAGGGATCCACTCCGACAGACGGACAGGACTCAGGCTGTAGAAAGAGGACTGAGGCTGTGCTCTGCAGGGCTGAGGAGGTTGTGCAGAAAACAATTTTAAGTAGTTTGACTTTTGGTGTTCTGCCTTTGGAGACGTTTAAGCTTGGATCAAAGCACATTGCGATTATAGTTTGTTTGCCAAATGCAATCAAATTTCTTCAGTACCCAACTTTAAAAAGTTAGGTACCAGAGCTTTAGGACTTCCTGACTTGTATGTGATAATGAGAATCTGACACGTGACATAGTGCGCCAAACTGTATTTTACCAGCTCTGTTAAGAGTGTCCATGAATATTTATGCTGCTATGTGGGCACTTTGTAGTGGTAATGTTCAAATTGACTTAGCACAAAGGGCATAGTTTTAAAATGGAAATAAGACCAAATCATAGTGTGACTTTTTTACTGTTTATTAATTAGGACATTGTGGCACCACCTCCATGGGAAAGCCAGATCCTGTCAGACCTCTGAAGCTTAGCAGGGCCGGGCCTGGTCAGTACTGTGATGGGAGACCTCTGGAAACACCAGGTGCCACAATGGGTCAGTTGACTGTTGTTGAGTCTTAAGACATGATAAAGAGCATTGACATCTCTCTATATAATTTATCCAATCAAATCAAAAGACAAGCTCGCTCTGATGCTGTAGGCACTAGCCAGCCTCGAGGGAAGGAGGCTTGACGCTCATTGGTTAATGCCACAGGTTTGTTTTCATTCCCTTTATGCTACCAGGGGCCAGAACTGTTGCTTCTGAAGGCCCAAAAGCAGATTTTGTACCCTGGTAACACATGATACTGAATAATGAATGGATAAAAACTAACATGTCATAAACTCCAGCCCTCCAAATGTTGACCTAGGGCTGGAACCTGCACAAACAATGTAGGAAAACTATGAACTATAGACTATGGGGAATAATTGAATACATATTTTGGGAAAAATAAATATATCTAAACATACATATTTCTCGATTATGTTAAGGCAGAAAAGGCCTTGAGGGTCCAATAGAACAGAAGTTGTAAAGGATGTGTCTTTCTTCATGCATCATACCAAAAATCTATTTTGTTTTCTTTTTGAGGCACATTCACACCTAGACCTAATTGGAGTTACACTGATGTAATACGGTTGATAAATAGGCTAACCATGCCTTACTTAAGTGAATCAGTGAGGTACAAACATGAATAATACCGCATACAATGACCTGAAAACGTCACGTCCCAGAGGAGAGCTGTTTCTGTAACGATAAACACATTCACGGAGCAGAATGAGGTTTGTGCTGCCCCAAAGCAACGCACTCGCACGACTCTTACTGACAGCCGGATGAGGCCAATTATCTATTCATTACATGGCTTTATATAAAGTGCCTGTAAAGACACCTTAGGCACCTCATTGTATTGATCTTTCATATGGTAAAGACTGGAAAGTGCAAGGTAAGTGAAAGTGTCTTGCTCAAGGCTGTGATTTTCCTCCATTTGTTGACATACATTTAAAGCAACTGTTCTTCACTTTCTATAGCTGGAATATGATTTGCATAATCCAAGTTAATTCCTATAACCATCGTTTGGAAGATTACAGCCAAAAGTACAACATTTTGACAGACGTCTTCTTGGCAATGCTCATCGGGACGGAGAGGTGCGTTATGATCTTTTTTACATGTATTTCTGTGATGAAAGGTTGAGGTCTGAACAGCGTCAAAACACTGATT